GGCGCGGCAGATTCCCTTGTCGCCCTCAGCACCTGCTTTGGCCTTAGAGGATTCATAAAACTCAGAGGTCTACATTACGGCTTGGAGCCTTTAGGGGGTTCGCGGCTATTTCAGCATTTCCTCTACCTGACCAATAAAACCGGTTTCAATTCCACAGTCTGTGGCCTGGGAGCTGATGGTCCAAATCACCAGGCAGAAGAGGCGGGGAGAGGGAGGCCTAATGTCAGGTTTGCGAATGATCTGTTGTATATTGAGCTGTACGTGGTGGTGGACAACATGATGTTTCGCTATGAAGGTCGCAATGAAACCAGAGTGATATATATCGTTTTGGACACAATTAATATGGTGTACACGCATTACCGTTTCCTGAATATTGCGGTCATTCTGGTGGGTCTGGACATCTGGAAAGAACGCAACCCCATTGAGATTTCCAGAGACACCACGAATCTCACCCACGATTTAAGCGAATGGAAAATCGCCCATGCCAAGGAGGTACAGCGTGACACGACCCACTTGTTTGTTCATCAGAGATTCGATGCAGTGCCTTGGCATTTCTACCTCGGCGGCATCTGCAGCCCAGATCTTTCTGTAGGGATAGACCCCTACCTAACCAGGGATCTGCAAGAATTCTCCAATATCATCTCTCACACGTTGGGTCACAACCTTGGCTTGGGCCACGATGGCCCTTACTGTTTTTGTGATGAGCAAACAAGCTGTATCATGCACCCTTCTCACACGACGTTTGCCTTGTTCAGTAACTGCAGCATAGCCTCTTTGTCACGTCTAAGAATGGGGAAAAAGTTGGGTTGCCTGCACAACGCCCCGGACCCCACTTCACTTTTCAAGTTCAAGCACTGCGGCAATAAAGTGGTGGACGAAGGAGAACAGTGCGATTGCGGCGGAGAGCAGCAATGCAGATGGGACCCTTGTTGCAACCCCAACTGCACCTTCAAGGGAAAGGCCATTTGTACCCACGAGGACTGCTGCAAAGACTGCCAATTCACCCGAAGGGGAGCACTCTGTC